GAAAAAAAATTCTATGGACTAATTGTATGGACCTGTTTGACTGATTTTTCGCTACTTTTAGCGCTACGTAATATTTTGTCCAAAAAACTAAACAGTTTTTGCAGATAGATTATCAAATTTTCATCAAAATGGTATATAAACGCAAGATATACTTGTTGCTCAAAAAAATCAAATGGAAAGCCCTGTATATTTATACAGTTTTGAGTCAATCTTTATAAATTTAATTTTGGTATGATATTTTTGTGGGTTACTATTTTTTTGCAGTTTCCTGGAAATTACATGTCCAAAACAAAAAAATGATTATAAAAAATAACCCAAAGCCGTAAAAATTTACCATACCATTTGAATTTCCGGATAAAAAAAGTGTGTGAATAAATACCAAAATTAAAAACGCGCCTGAATTTCAAGTAACTATAGGATTAATTTTGAAGAGAAGTTCGCTCCTCTATCTACAAAAGTGTCTAAGTTGGGTGTTTTTCAGACCAAATGCCCCGTAGCTCTAGAAGTAAAAATCTTAAAAGTCCCTTCAAACTTAACATTAACATCTATTTAAAGCATGTATATTTGTGTTCAAACATCGTTATAAGCCATTCTGTAGAAAACGTACAATTTTTCAGGTATCTCTTATAATAACAGAGCCATCGACCAATACAACACTAAGGCCCGTATCGTCAGTCGTCCCTAAAATTGTAGGGCGCCTTTAGGGCCTCCTTCATTGTCATAGATTTCTACATCTCCGTGTCAGCGCTCTATTTTGAGGTTATGTCACAAACATCTATTTGCATCAAATTGTGCTTGCTTTTGAGTTATATCATGTTTTATCAGCCTGAAATTTCCTACAATTTAAAAAGATAACACATCTTCACAATAGGAGAGCGCTGACGCTGACACGGGACAAGTGTAATCTAGAAATTTTTGAAGGAGAGAAAGCAGTATGACAATCATGGAGGCCATAAACGCGCCCTACAATTGTAGGGACGACTGACGATACGGGCCTAAAACCTCACCGTGTATACATACACTGATAACAAAAATTGTCTGACGGCTTGCGTTCAATGCATACGAGAGAGAAGTGTATACAGACATGTTAGAAATAGACAGAATCCGGCTGGATAGCGAAGATCATCACCGCGTTGCCCAGCAACGCTGAGGTGGCAATCTGCCGCGTTGCCAATATATCATGTTATGAATTAAGATGCATGTTGAAAGTATGCGTTGGTTTATTCTCTAGTCTCAAATAATTGTTTTATATGTAATCTGTTTAGGATCGATTACAGACCGCTCGCTGTCGCAAAATGTAACAATAACTCAGGATGAGTGGATGTTATCACCATAGGTGAAAATCATAAATAATTCTAAAATAAATTAAAACATTCAGTCGCATAAAAATTGAAATAAATAGTTCTAATCCAGATGAAAACAAAGTATTAAATTCAATGTTCGAACAGACCTCCTTCTTGGGCTTGACAGTAACCTAACCTATTGTAGAAGCCTCTGCAAACATTTTCTGGTGTAACATATGACGACCTTCTGCGTCACCGTTGCTAGGCAACTTCTCGCGCTTCTCTGTCGTACACATTGAACTCAAGGCGTCACCCAATAAAAATGTATAACCCGTCAGTGAGAAATTGTTTTACAGGTTTCCGAGGTCTTTATGGGATACCAGCGGCACACTGATGGTGAATCAGGAGACTTTTATAGTCGTAAATTTGTAGTATAGGTTATAAATTAAAAAAAACTACGCCACTGCACCAGTAAACACTCAACTCTAGAGAGACTACTCCAAAACTCAGGCTGCGGTAGGTTTTGTCGCAGCCAAGCATCGGGTACCCGAAGAATAACAAAAATATAGTCGAGGCTAAATGTTTTAATTATCCGTTTCCGACCTCCTCCCCACTAACTTCAATTTAAATAACCACCGCATATTTTATTAACGCTAACAGCTCGGCGTCGGCGCTTGGGCGGCGGACTATTCAAATGAAGTGAATAATTGGAGATGTGGGAGATACTCTTCAATTCTGAGGATTAATACTACACCGTCCAATTTGTACGGTTTTCCATTAATTTGCGCAAAATTAAACGGATTTTCGTGAATGATGCGATAATCGATGGTTTTTGGTAGGACGGAACATACATTACTACTCAATATGGATTCTTTCGTTTACTTCTCACGTCATAGGCGAAGGCAGCATCACTACTAGATTTAGTTTTAAGATTTCCTAATTTTCAGGCATTTTCAAGTATTATCCCTTATTTGCCCGTCCAGGTATCGAAAAATATTAGAAGTACTGCAATCAACAAAAATTTAAAAATAGAGTTCTTGTATTTTTTAAATGTTCTACGATCCGTATGTATAGTATACCACAAAAAACCAGTTTCACCTATTTGCATCAGTCTGTCATTGCGCCTCTCCGGCAAGGGTATTACGTCCGAAAAGTGACATTGTCGTTTTTTTTTTAAACTTTATATAGTTTTTGGTGACATCATGTAGGTTCTCCTATAACATGTCAACTTGGAACTAGAAGTTGTTCTCTTGATGTGCACTCGTTGTGTAGATGTACGTGTTGCCTAGACGTCATGACGCTAGAGATAACATGGTTTGGCTCTTATGTGTTGATTATAATGTCCTTGGTTCCTTCTCTCAAATACATGTTCTTGCAAAGCTAGAAATTAGTTGCGCATTCCCCTTTTTCTTATTCGTCTTGGAAATTACATATGCAAAGTTGCTGAATTTCAAAGATGAGAGAGATAAAAATAGAAAATCCCTGGTTGGTGAAGTATACTACAACTAACAGGTGAGAAAATAGGCTACCGGAATATTTATGAATCATAAATGGTTATTACACTTTGTATTATTTTGTATTTCCAGTCATTTATATTTTATAGAAATAAATTTTGTAGAAAATACAAATACAAATCAGCGCCTAGATGTGAGACACTGCAAAAATATTTTGTGTGTGATGTGTCATTCCTAATGAGTTATTTTTTTTTAAATAAAGCCTTAGATATAACTTTGAACATGGCCGCCCTGCAGAAAGGATAACACCTTAAATAGCTTATCTGGCACAGCTAATAGATATAGGTGCTTCATGGGCAGCATAATCAGAAATAATGTTCTCAGATACCAAATAAATAATATAGTCTATACACATTCAGACTAATAGACACAATCATCTAGATGTGATGTTACTACTCTGCTACTCAACCAATTTTCATTATGTCACATCTTCTCACTATCTCGGCATTCTGCAAGCAACAAAGCATACTGGCAAACTGACTTACAGCGCTCACAGCGAGCAAAAGCGTAATGAACATTAGCAGCTCTCTAGTCAGCAAGTTGACATTTTGTTGGTTTTTTACATTATATAGGCTTATTTACGTAATAACCCTGCTTTTTGCTATACAGGCGCTGCAATGTAAATTTAATGCAAAATTCTGTTCTTACGTAGAATCCGTCACAAGAAATTATAAAACACGCATCGCTACTGTACCGTCAAGCATAAAAGGTTAAGAGAACATCACTTCAGGGTCTTGATACCCTCCATGGTTAGTTCCTGTTTCATAGCGGCTTACTCTCGGACATTTTTCAGGTTGTGAGCAAAATGGGTTATGAAAGGTTTCTGGGATTTATTGAAAACAACAAGAAATCACCTGCAATTGAAAGGGTGATAAGGAGATATTTGAGGGTTGCTATAAATCCGTTCAGTTTCTATGATGAACAACAATTTAAAGGCACGATTTACATTCTCAAAAGGCACAGGCAAGAGACAACATAGCCTCATTAATTCATGACGACCTAAATAAACCGAAGAGGATTATCAATTCTACTAATACAACAGTTATTTGCTGCAATCCGTTTTTATGCAACTGAACATTTGAAGGTTTGAACTTCTGAGAAACTATTTGTGTATATTTCCCTATACAAATGCTTCGTTTGTTTGTAGAATGTCGATGGCGATTTACAGAGGATATCACAACTAGCTGTCTGCAAAATTATGAAGCGGGTTTCCGAAGCGATTGCTCGGCACCTACTCAATCTCGTTAAGTTTTCGCCAAATGTCCATCAAATAATAATGATTAGAAAGTTCTTTGACATGAGTAATTTTCCATCAGTCTCATATGCAATGATGGAGTACATATAGCAATAAAAAATTCTGGAGGAAAAGTAGGAGAGATTTTCATAAAAAGAAACTTGAAATTGATCAGTAGCAATGTATGAAATAATAGGTTCCTTTTTAGGCCTATATGTTTGCCGTGTGTTCATAACTACAAATTTTGGTGATACTGAGTTATACCTACTTTATATATAATAAATGTTTTGATTACACCTATGAAGTCTAAAACTGTATTCCTTATTTCGCATACTTGCATATAAACAAAGAAGGAGCATGAAAATTCAGTACAGTAAGGATATCTCATAACATATTCAACCTGCTATAACTTGAAATATACCGATCTATGCATGTAAAATATATTTAACAAGAAGTTACTATAGCTTCAATACTCCATATAAAAATATTTATGTTAATACATATCTTGCAATGAAGGCACTCAAAATAAACAAATAAAACAAAAATAAACACTCCTAAACCATTTTTTAGCAGTAGACAAAAGATTAACATTAGAACAGATAAAATAAGTAAACTTTGGAATTTGCAGCATACGTACATCCTTTTGGTATCTGCTTTCCTTGTCCTGAGGTTGCTTGGAATTCCTTCGGATCAATCCTTGCGAGTTGTACAAATTGCTTATTTTTTCATGGGCTTGTTGTTTCTTTCTTATGGATACATCATCGGTTTTTATGATTCGCTAAATTTTTTTTGTATTCTCCAGTTGGACTGCATAATAGGAATGTTTCAGCCTGTGAATGGTATTTTCGTTCTTCAGTCATTTTGTTCACTGTATCGTCAATCACAAATGCCAAAACCATAACTATCAAATAGTTTAATACAAATTTGATTTAAATTTGTCAAATCATGACAATGCCAGTTTCGAGTACATTAGGCAGCAGCGGTGGCCGCAGTAGTCGGTCTCCTGATCAGTCGCCGTGCGCTGTGCGGGTTCGAGTCCCGTCCCAGGAGAAATTTTTCTCTTGGCTATGGATGTTGTGATTGTCCGTAGGTGGTAGATGGTCTCTGACTGTCGAACGCGGAGGTACCACCCGGCGGATCTCGTAGGCGGAGCCAGAATGTGTGCATGTTGCATGTACATGTGTTCCCTCGCCAGAGTCCGTGTGGCGTTCCCCCTGTCCCATGTATCCCCCTATAGCCCCACGGTACCCAATGGGTGCTTAGGCCTTAGGCCTTCGTGGTAGTTGGAGTATAAAAAAAAACATTAGGATACACTTGAGGATCACTTCATTGGCCTCAAGTGTACTTGTGAGTGACGATTAAGAATATGTCTAAGCTTCGACCAAAAAATGAACAACTTTTTGTCTCTTACTTTTTTTTGAAAAATGGCCCAAAAAGCACTCTCTGAAGAACATTCAACTTTATCAATACATCACAAGCCAAGAAAGTCTCATATAGCTCTCAGCCAGATCCGTTCAGCGATTTTGCGTAATTGAGTAACAAACATCCACAGTTTCTCATTTATGATATTAGTAGGCAAGCCGGGATTCCTTAGCACATTTTAAGTTTCAATCGTGTCTAAATTGGCTGACCAAGATTGTATGCATTTTTATTTCTTTTGTAGGCCAAATCTTCGTAAAAGGCCTCAATATTAGAGGTTTTTCGTAACCTTCGGCTTTTGGTCAAATCTGGTCCAAGACCGAATGTGTACTTTTTGGCCGAATCCCAAAGCGATGTCGAAGCTTCGGTGGGTCCCTTAAAATTATACGAAGAACAAAAGAGCTTACATGATAATCAAAATGTTTCACCTATAAAAGCCACCTCCGTTACACCAATGTGCCATATCCAGCTGTAATAAACTGCCACTAACATAATTTGAATTTATCCGACGATATACTCTTTAGAGCCCTTCTATACCACAGCCTCTGCTCCTGTGCGGAAGCGTAGTGGTATACGCGAGAGGTTTTAGCTGACTTTTTACCATCAAGTGGCCACCGCACTTTAACCGAATTTTATCTTTTTACACCGCTGCCGTCGCCGGTCTCGGTTACGCGTAGATTCGAAGTTTCGAGTACGCCACGCTGTTGGATGGGTAGTGGATGAAATATATGGCGAAGCTATTATAAAGCGACATTTATTAATTGATTTTTGGGTATTTTACTTCCCACGCCTACTGGCACTATTGTGTTTCTCTCATGAAGATCAGTTTCAAGATTTATCCCACAAGTATTTACAAGTTCAATAAAATCTTGTGAAAAGAGCAAAAATGAGCAGCCAAAAAACTAATATGAAAATGAGGCCGTGGACACCCTGTAGGAGGTTCAGCAAACGTCTAGACTTTTAGAGCGTAATGAATTAAGGAATTTCTCGGTAGATGGATATGAAAGGGCTTGTCTCTCCGTTCACGACGAGTCTTAATGTCGTGCATGAGAATTATGATGGATGACGTTTAGAATTAGAGGAAATTGGGGGGGTGAGCAGCTTATGGAGGAATACATGATGCACCAAATCATATGCCTTAGTTGGGAATTGTGAGCGAAAATGATAAATTTTCTAACTATGAGCTTTTAAAAAACAATGTAGTATTAAAATAAAAATAAAAATGTTGACGAAAGTTTGGAATACATAATATTTAATAGCAAATATATCAAAAATGCGATCAGCTTGAAATGTGAATTATTTTTAGTTGCCCGCTGATAACCCCTGATCTTTTGCATTACACTTCAATACCCGAAGGGATGTATTGTTACTCTGATGCAAAAGTCCCATCAAAATTCTAGTTTTCATGAATTGACGTGATTGCTGCAATCACAATCGCAATACAGTTGACCCACAGTAGCATATTTAGTAGGAGGCAAGAGATTCGGCGGCTTGTATGCTCTGTCATTATCATCTATTTATACAACATTCACCAATTTTTAAGGCCCTGCATTTTAATCCGTTTCAATTAAGATTATAATTACGAATAACCGTATTCGATCGCATTCGCTATCAAATATTGAATATTACGGTTTCCCAGACAAGTAACAGGAATAACCATTCTATTAACTTATAAGAGTTAATATGTAGAGTAACAATGTCATTTGCTTTTGTGACGTACAAAGCAAATGTCACAAATAACAAAAAAGATACATACGACACAGTAACATTTGCTGCCACAGTCTGGATGTATATATCTTACAGCGACAGCATGGTAATGTTCTGCTGCGAACAAGGAAAGCTTATCTCCCAGCTTGTATTTTTTTAGTGTAGTGTATCTCATCATACCTGGATGCCCCAGAGAGCACACGAGAGCTAAATAAAGCTCTATATTAATAGGTGCATCAACATACATACGGTAGACGGATGTAGACGAAGGACAAAAGGGAGATGTATTCAAAACGGTAAAGTATTTGATATTACATAATTACTATGGAAACCTAGAATTTTGTTTCTAAATAAATTTAACTATTTGAGACCACAGATGTCCAACTATGGACAGCTGTTTGATGCTGTTCGGCAACTCATCAGGGTTGGTCTCAGGTAAACCAACGAACAAAAACTGAGTCACTATCATCTACCCAGAGTACAAGGTCTATCAAAATAACACAGCACAAACTGTCACTTGCGAAAGTTAAAATAGCAAGTGTCTGTTGGAACTGTATTCCAGTTCACACTGTCAGCTAAGTCACCCCAGTGGCCGCTAGCTGCCGATTCTGATGCTATAGTATATACGGTCTAGTCGCCATTGAGCAAAGAAGTAATATAGCTTTCTTTCGTGTTATTTGAGGAGTTGCCAAATGTAATAAAATATGTATATGACAACTCTTCGAATTTTATTATTAGAGATGGCCATTTCGTGGGAAATGGGATCCCGCACTAAACATGAAAAAATAAATTAATAAATTAAGTTAAATCCAGTTGTGACTGGGTGATTCAGAATTTCCCTAATATTCAATGTAAGCAAGTCTTGATGGATTATATTCCTATAGAACAGTCATCAAGCATTAAATTTCTCACTGGAGGATTAGAGAATGCTGCCGCTCATAGTGTCTGATTCTATTTATTGAACACCCGCAAACCCAGAATTGAATGTAACAGCATTTCGCCTGCATTGCCATCATTCAAAGGGAATTTATCTGCTGTCACTAGGTTTCCAGTCGCTGGAGGGATATTGGACGTTCGAAGCGCGGAAAATTGTTCGTAAATCACATCTAGTCAAAGCATATATTAAAAAGTACGTCTTGTAAGTGAGTGTTCGGGTCTACGGAGTATTTTGACTGGAAAAAATTCAAATGATAATCCGCCATGTATTGACAGAATCTTTTTTAAATTTCAATCACAGGTCACCTTCTTCAGTGCAATGACAATATATTTTATGTTTTTTCTTTAAATTATCATATACTATACAGTGTTTTACTACAATAGTCTAAAAATATGCTGACATTGAGCGAAGTCATCATTCCGAATTTCAAGATGGTACCAAGCAAAACCAGCATAGTCCAGGACCGCCTGGCGTCCCCGTTAAAAAAAAAGACGTCCAGCTCTCTAAAAATGACAAGCGAGCATGAGAATATCTGTCGTTTTATAATGTACCAGAGACGTCACCTTCGTCCATCGTCCAGAAAACGTCAAAAACCCTCCGAAAATATGTGAAAACTCACCCACAGCTGTTGTCGTAACATACAGGTTAATTTTTTATCTTCTACTAAAATATTGCAAGTTCTGTGAGAAAATAAGCCACAACAGTTTGGCCTGGAGATGGTATTAGTTATTTTTGGGGAATGGGAATGGTTACCCCAGGTGGTCCTGGGTTATGTTGGTTTTGAGTGGTGCCGTCTTAAAATTCCGAATGATAACTTCGCGCAATCTCAGCATTTTATGAGATTTTCAGAATATTGTAACAACACAATGTATATGAATGTGATAATGAAACGAAAAACCAAACGTACTGTGATTGAAACGTTTACAGTAAAGATTACAATACATGCGGTTTTCTTGCCCAGACAAACAAAGGTGATTAGCGAGATGTAAACTACAGGGTAATTTTCAGATGTTTCATTAAAATTCTAATAGCTCCAACAACGTAAAAGCTCAACTGTCGGAGGTTACGCTGGGGATAAAGCCGTTGACAGACATTCCGAAATAGCAAATATTTCAAACAGGTACGTACTCAGTTGGATTGCAATTCCAGGCAAAGAATGATAATAAAGAAAAATGCAGCAGGAACATTTAGTGCCAGTTTTTACAGGATTCACCAAAATCTCAACAATAGAACTGTGTTGATGGTACACATTTTATTGTCATATACTATATATAAGCTCACTAACATTTCAACCACTCCTCTTTTACAAGAAAAATCTATATGTCGAGCTTAAGTGCTAGTACGATCTTCCATGTATCTTAGAATGAACTTAGCACTTGACGTTTTAACCTCTCCAAAAGTAAAAAATGGCGTCAAGTAGGTTGACTCTGCACTTCCCGCACAACGCCGTTAAGAGTTCATGAAGGATTATGCGCAGCACAAACTAGACCTTCTGAGAAAAACGTCAGTCAAACATATCCATACAATAAATCCATAGACACTATTATTTCGGCTCTACCAGTTGTGCATCTGGAAACGACGCCTCCCCCCAATACTTAACCCGGTCAGACGTGGCAGCGCGATCACAGCATAGGAAACACTATGCTGTAACGGGGCTGAAATACGTGCGATACCATACCAGCACAACAGAACGCTCCTTGCCGTGGCCGCTAGGTAAGTGATCCGTCTGACGAGAATATTTTCTAGCTTTAAGGGCTAATGTACAGATAAATCTATGATGAGTGAAATAAGTCTAATAGGTGCGTAGAATTAAAAAGGTTGGTAGCGCATAAATCTACTAAGATCAAAAAATTGATATGAATATTCCTCACTTCCCACAACCCCCTCCCCCAAAGTTTTTTTACCTCTAATTTGTTGTCAAAAATTATCAGGATCCT